TGCTGTTTGCATGGTGACCCCAGCTTAGACAATTTTATTGGCTGAGCAGACAAGAAGGTTATTTGAAAGTCCTTTGGGAATTCTCTGCCAAAGCTAATGTTCATATTGTGTTAGTGCACAGATAGAGGAGAGAACCCTGTCAAGGTCTTCAGGAGGGATGAGATAATAACACAGGTGAAGAAGAGGTAATAAAGAGTTTCAAGAGAGGTGCTATAGGTGCTTGTGTATACAAATAATACATGCACACCTGTTAGTCATTTATGACTTTATATCATGTTAACATTATAGTCTTTTCTATGTTAGGAAGGTCATTGTAGACTAACTTGATAGTTTGCTTTGTCTAGGAATGACACACAGTTAAGCAGATATGGCAGTTTTCTGATCAAGAAAATGAAAGACAGAGCATGCAGTTAGTCACTGCAGAAACTGAGCTAAAAGCTAAACAGGAATAAACACTGAAAGAGAGTGGCAAATGCATCATCTGTTACATGAAGTTGTTGACAGTAGTAGTAGTGTAGCTTCCCCTCCCCACACCGGATGTTGTCATATTCAAAAACAGTTTCATCCTATGTAGGGATAAAACAGAGAGAACGTTGACTTAAATGTTGAAATAAAACATAACCCTGAATTAGACGACAAATATATTAAAGGGAAAGTGGAGTTGATGTCTTCCACCAGCCGAGAGATTGATTTATGCTTGATGCGTCCATGCAGACAGAATTTCAGCCCAGCGAACCTTTGAAAAAATGTAACACTAAGTAGACAGCTTCACCATGAAAGACATGGTGGACAAGCAAAAGCTCCTACTGGTGAAGGCTCACAAATATGAGCTTTCAGCCCAAAAATACCACTATGATCCACGGATTCTGAAAATCTCTCAGAAATAAACTATTGTCACTCTTGAATAATATGAAAGGCTTCAAAAAAGTTGGGAATGGTTGTGTTTTTTACTTTGTAATGTATTGTGGTGGAAGATTGTGTTTTGCACTGTAATTTTTGCAAAAATAGTGTCCGTAACGTACGTGCGTCAAGCATAAATCTAGTGTTAGCCTTTAGCAGCAGAAATACAGATATAACTCCTACTATGAGCTTTATCGAAATGTGCCTATGTCCAGTCTAGTCTCAAAAGCTGTCTGAGAAAAAAAAAAGCATGGAGATTGTTTCCTCAAATATCTGTGAAAAGATAGGTTGGTTTCAGGATCAAAGAATTACAGCGTAGTTCTGCGATAGAGTTCCACCTATGTATCAAGTCCACTCATTAAATTTCCTTGCTCCTAAATATTTTACCAATAGCTGTCAGTAGTGTTATATTGAAGTTGAAGCATTTGGGAAAGACGAACTTCATGTGGCCTTCCGATTAGCTCAAGAAAAGACAGCAGAAAAATTCATGAAATGGGTTTCCATGGTTGAGCAGCAGCATCCAAGCCATACATCACCAGCACATTATAATGTGATGGATGCAGTGGTGTAAAGTATGTCTGAAGTATGTCTTGATTTTAAAGAGTAGGCACATTCTCTGGAGAGAAGAATCAAGATCCAAATACCTGTTGGACAAATCTGGGTTTGGGGCCTATTAGGAGACTGGTACTTTTATGACTGTAGCCTGCTATAACCTCTCGGTTCCAAAATGCGTATGTTTTTGCCATGCTGAATAGAGCAACTGCGGCCAATCATGACAGTTCCACCAGGTGTGCCCTGGTGCATTTCTGAAGTGTCCCAGATGTGGCTTGCACTTGCTGCTTCTAGACTGCAGATGATCTATTTTTGCTGCACCAAGTCCACGTCAATGTAGAGCAGAGTGGATCATTTCGACAGCAAGTCAACAGATGAAAAGCAAAGTGTATATGATTGAGTTTAAAAGTAAAAGACTCCATGTGCACACTTAGGATGCATTTACTGGACTTCCATGTAATAAGAAATTATGTTCATACAGTTTTTCACAACCATAATGAATATGATCACTGAATTAAAAAAAATAACTGAAAAAGTAAATATTCGAACTACCTTACCAATGACAGATCCAAACAAAACAAGGTAAGATAACGAGATAAAGCCCAGGTACGTGATACGTTAGCGCTAGCCAAGTGACCACTTTACTGGTTTATGATTCTATTAAAGCCTACAGTACACTACTATAGTGAGATGTTGCAATCCTGGCATGAAATTAGTAAAACAGTGCAGAATCGTTCAGCTATAAAAATGCTTCCAGTGGAGTAGGGTGTCTGGTGCTTGGAGGCTGTTACACCAGGGACCTTACATATCCAGTTTAACCCTAGCATAGGAGGGAGGTTTGATGAAAGGAGGCTATAGGGCTGTTTTTCAGATGCTTTACTTTGCTGCTCAGTTTCAGGGGGAGGAATTCTGAACTCTTAAGCAGCTCAAAAAATTTTGGGCATTTTTATCTAATACTATTTGTCTCTCTGTCCGTCCGTCTGAAAAAGATTACTTTGGTCAGATAACACAAAATTTTAACTTGTATAAATCTCTATAACACTTATATGAACCATCACATTTATCCCCAGAAGTACATCAGGCCGTTTTTTTGTTTGTTTTATTTTTTCATTTTTGCTGCCTTTCCATTACACAGCTTTTTCTGTAATTGATTTGTTCACATAATCCATCATCCTAAATCCATGCAGAAAAGGGCAACACAACAAAAGCTTTCTAAGTATCCACAGCTTAACATCAAACTCTTGATTTTGATGGAAAAATAACAGGTCTTTCAGACCCGAGTAAGTCACACACTCTTTTATTATATGATGATTTTGATGTTTTTCAATCTTTTCCTGAGTGTTTTTAAATACAGCCCTACAGTATGTATGCCTGCCACCCTGCATATCTTCAAACATGTCTTCCAATCAGTTTTGTGTCCACAGATTGGTTAAGCTCTCTAGATTCACACAGGTATCAAAGTTCAGCTCTTTTAAGGGTCTGTTTTGAGTTCAGCTTTTCTTGTTTGGAGATCATTGCAGTACAATCGATATCAATCATTAGAATCCTCTGAGAACTCTGGAGGTAACAGCATGCAGTCCAGAGCATATATGACTATGTGGAATTAACATTTTGAAAACTATGCCAGATGGCAGATTTAAGTGACACAAATTATTAGAGATTACTCAGGTTTAAGTGAAGAAGAAAAAGCCAAAAGCCTTTGCACTGTCATAAAGCGTTCATGGAGATGGAAATCATAGTCAGCATTTTTTGGGGCTTAGCACCTGCACAACAGTGCTACCTGCAAACAGTGCTATACAAACAAAAGCAATTTCTGCAAGACTGGACATCTTACTACAGTAAATCATTTTTATTTACAAGCCTAATATATTTCATAAATTACTAGCATTACTGCACTCAACACAGAACTGCAATAGTCATGTATTTTACTCTTTAGATCTAAGTTTCAAAATGCTTAATTCTGCAAATGAATCAGAAAGATAGATTTGATAAGATGATAAAACCCTGATAAAGTCACCCAAATGGATAAAATATAGAGGATGCATTATGACCACAGCCACTTCCTTCTTGTTCAACAGATTTTTTCTCAGATTTAGTTCTAGATTCTTTCTACCATTCTAAAAGATTCCAAAGTTTCCTATAAAAAAGTTTCCGTTGTTTTTCACTCTGAATATAACTGTTTGTATTGCTGATTTATGTCCTCTAAAATAACACCATAAGTTCAGGTCATACAGATCATAACCTACTCACTCACAAGGTTTGGTGGATTTTAACAGGTCTGGAAACATGAAGAACACAGAAGACTGCTATATCATGTTGAACACAACCAGCTACTTTAGAACTTGTTTTAATCTCATCTGTTCATTAATTATTAAAATACCCTCATTAATTAAATATCCTCTCCCAGGATTTTTATTTTTTTATTTTAGCACTTTTCTGAGCAGTACCTTTATACAACAATTTAACAGATAATATGCTTGCAACCAGGGTATATAAATATTAAACTTTTTTTTTCTATTTTAATACATATTTCATTTCAAATTATTGTTATTATTATTGTTACTATCAACATTTTAAAATATTTCCTCCTGCTGGATCATTTCACTCTCAGAGCTCCACTGGCATAAGAACAATCCTGCCTTAGTTCTTTCTTGTACCCCTACTCTGTCGTATTCATCTTTGTTTTTGTTTGCCTAAGACAAGACATTACACAGCCAGAGAGAAGGAGCTTCTTCACAAACCTTAACCTGTCAGTTTGATGACTAAACCTGCACTCAAAGGTATAGTGGAGGATGTTTTTTTTCCGGATGGATCATCAAAAATAAGTGGTCCGCCTAATCGTCAATCATTCTGGTGATATGTATATGTAAGGCCGTACTATGTGCTTGTCTCCATTTTCACTTATTGCCAAAGATGTTGCGAGTCTAACATAGTGGAAAAATTGCAAATCTTCCTTTGGAAGGTAAGCTTGTATGAGTGATGCAAACGGCAACTTTTAAACAGAGTGTGCATGAGGAGATATGGGCTCCCACATGCAGTTAAGGGTTCTGCATGTGCATTTGTTCTTAAAAGTGGAGAGGGCTGGTCTTTTCAAAAATTCGGGAAAATCCTCCACTATACCTTTAAGACAGTTCTCACATGAAACTAGGAAGCACAACAGTGTGGCAACAAACTCTCATTATTGTTTTAACTGGAAAAAAGCTTCTAACATGGTTCAACTAAATCGAATTCAGTGTTTTATGTGGTGCAAATTACAGCGTGACAACTATGTCCTGGATCCATGCAGAATTTATCTGCTCTTCTAAGAGCTGCCCCTCAAACTGATTCTCAGTTCAAGGACTCTGTTATCATACAATTCCCATGAAATATATGTACATTTAATGATCTGAGTGAATTTGTCTCTGGAGAGCCAAAATAAATCAGTAGTAGCACATGTTTGGTCCCACCAATGAGATAACAGGCATGTAAAGTTTCACTCAGTATAATGGTATGGGATGTGATATATGGCCTGCTAACAAGGGATTTTTATGCTATCCTTCCCTTTGCAGAAAGCTCGCCTGGCCAGGATACGAATATCCAAAACAGGAAGCTCAAGTGCCCTCCTTCACAGCAAGCGCAACGGCTTGTTCAATGAAGCTCTCGAGCTCACGGTAAGATTTGTTTCAGCACATAATTTTTTATTTAAAAATTTAACCAACCCACAGGAGGCAGTTAAGTTTGTATGTATTTTAAGTGTGGACCCATAAAAAGCTGACCTTTGCTCTAGCCCAGCTTCTAAATTCTAGAGTTGCTCCTCTATATCTTAATTATCCCAGCATCCCATCAGAGGAACTAAGTGTGTTCTCATTTGGCGAGCAGCAAATCTAATGTGAGCATCTCTGAGCCCAGCTGCCCAGCTGAGGAACAGGCTTGAGGCGATGCAGCAAGAAGTGTACACACAACACAAGGATGTTCCCTGCCTTTCCAAAATCTTGTGGTTTATGAGGAAGCACTGTAGTGGCCCTGAGGGCTGACACAGCACAAAAACAAGTGTTTGTTCCACATTTCTAACTCATTCTTCCAGCGTTTTCTTTGCTCTATCTCTCTATCCAGCAGCACTGGTGAATACACAATCAGAAGGGCACCAGTGAGACTTCTTGGCAAAGAAACAACTAATTCACATCAAACTGCAGGGACTGCCACTTGCCTATATGCCGTATGCTTTTGACTTTATTAATTAGAAGAGTGTTAAGAGGTTCAAGTTGTGCACAAACAAGAATATGTTTCTCTATGGGAACCTAAGAGATTTTTTTTTCTTTCCTTTACATGATAAAGTGTTACATAAACAATTTAATCACCAGCTAAGGAAATCCCAACATTAAGGCTTGATACAAGTAAAGTGAAATTGTTTGTTTTGTTTGTACATTTGTCTTCAAACTTTTTATTAACATCTTGTTTTTCCCTCATATCTATTAACACTGCTAAAATAAGCAGTGAATTAATGCAGAAAATATTTTCCAGTCATTTCAATCAACCTTGTCCTTGGTTTTAACCCATCTCTTAGAGAATCCAAACCAGGACTCACCCTTCACGTGTGTTTTAGGGGTCTCACAGATATGTGAAAGTTTCTGATAGCTGCAGTGTATTAGTGGGTGTGTGTCCGTGTGTAGCTCATTAATTCCTTAACCTAGATAGTCAAATGAAGTCTCCTTAATTGTCATAGCTCAGAACAGAGGACCCGGTATTCAGGCAAGACAGACAGACAGAAACTTTAAAGGCATTTATTAACATCAAACAGATCTGTGGTAATAGCTGCTAGGATGTCTGTGGCAAGAAAATCTGGAGAGAGGAAACACAGGTTAGTGACCATGTAAATCTAATGGAGAAAGGTTATAAATGTGAGTCACTAACCTGGTTTACAAGTTCAGCCCATAGCCAGAGAATGAGGTAGGATACAGCCGATGTGCCGCCAACAAGATGCAGCGGGCGCCGCCTGGAGTGTCCCAGATGCTGAAGCCCTGGAGAACATGCATTAGTCCGAAGCCAGGTCAGGCAAACATATCAGAACGGGACAGACTGGAGAATGTAGATCAGATGAGCAGTGATCAGAAAGGTGAATGGAATGAGTAATTTAGCCAGTCATCAGTGCCAAGATCATGACATTAATGATCATTTTGTTCACTGGTTTTCTAAATTTCTAAATATTGTGTGTCATTACAGATTAAATTTTTAATTTAAGAGACCAGTGTAATTAAATGCCTAGCAAACATTTCACCTAGTTTCAATATCCTTGTATTTTGAAAAAAGAACTCGCAAAGCACAGGAAGGTGCTTTAACTCAACTTCTTGGCTTATTGGCTCTCATTAGCTTTACATCACAGTTTGTGTTTACCTGCCTGGCACATCTAATTAGAGATGTATCTCATTAGTATTGGCTTGTAAGGTTTTGGTAACAAACACTCCATCGCTAACTCTTTGCCCAGCAGTTTGAGCAGCATGGTGGTGGTGCGCACAAGGTCAGACAGATGGTTTTTATTACTGGTTCTGATAAATGTATGAAAGTTAAACAAATTCTTAATTGCTGTCAAATGTTTAATCGTTAGGAGGCTTTTTACACACAGTGTGCCGGGCACCACACAGAGCAACACAATGTGTTTTGTCACCCGGCAGATCAAGCTGTTTCCACTCTACAGTATGGTGGCCACCTGGGTAGTGAGGCACGGCCGCCTCCAGATAGACTGCTGATATGGCTCCTGCAGTCACATGTATGGAGGGGAGACAGAAATAGCTCAGCCCTAAACACCTGTGACCTATTGCTGCGTTAGCTACAGATTAGCAATAGCAACACAGGTGAACCAAGGAACACTGAGTCATCAGCTCAGCAATGTACCCTTTCAGCAAAGAAAGCATCTGCTTTCAACAACAGTCACATGCTTAGCAAACCGAAAACAGCTCCTGCAACTCCATCTAACATCGTATTTTGCTTGCTTCACACTGTTGCTCTGTTGTAAAGGATAAAAGTAGATCTTTCAGCTGAGCTACAGGTATGGCTGAGGAATATGAAAGCAACTTATTAGAAGTCTAAGAGGAAATCATAACAGGACAGGAGCCCTGATGATGTAGTAAACTAAAGATAAAACTTACCAGATTCAGGGTGAAGATATGTACTAACCTGTTTGGTTTGAAAATGAACAATTGATCTGATTTATTTGGGATAGATAATAATTTATTAAAAAAACATGTTCACTTATATCTCAGGACATTTTTAAAATATTAATTTAGTTCATCAGTTTGAATACAAAAGCGAAGGTCGTTCATAGTATTTACGTAGATTTATTTCACATGGAGTATATTATGTACAGTAAGCTTTGTATTTCTGTAGATTTTATTAATTGATGCTAACAGTTAATTATGAATAAAAACATGTATAACTTCAGTTTTCCATTGCGTTAAAATATTATACTACTCCTGTATACAAAAGAAAATGTTTGTTTGATATGATGGTATTTCCCATTGAGCCTGTTTTTTTTTTTCTACTGCTTAATTTTCAATCAAAATGGTTTTATATAAAACTCAATTTACATAACTGTACGGAGCTCAAATAATCTCAAGATGCACACACACGAGATTCCCACATGCACAGAATGATTCAGAAATGCAGAAAAGATAAACACATCCACAGGACAAGATTCACAAACATGTTTCTGATGCATACACATTCATATTGTGATTTACAAGCTTCATGTGCACTGTGAACCTCATTGTGTTTGTGTGTGGACAGAATCCCCTGACTTGACTCAATTATTAAATACATTGTTTGCAGAATGATTTACAGTTAATCAGAAGTCTACCTCGTTTTAGCCATTAGGAAAAAGCACACCAAAAGTGAGCGAGGATAAGCTTACAAGCCAATCACATGAATGTGTTCACACAGCAATACACGTGGGTATAGTAGGGGTGGTAACAAAAACAGAGTGGTAATTAAAAAAAAAAAAAGATCAAATGTGGGAAATGTCAAATGTTTGTAAACCAAAGGCTTCAACAATAAAAAAATACTTTATCTATTGTGAAACCAAAATCTGTAGTGTGATAATAGGACATTTTGTAAACTTTTTTTTTTACCATGTTTTGAAGTTATGCATCAGATTAACTTTGTTTTAAGTTAACTTTGTTTTGTTTGTAACTTATTTTGATCTAAGTTGTAAAATATTTTCAGTTGTTTTGTTATTTTTTTTTGCAGTGAATGATTATGGGTTGTTGTTTTTTTTTTTAACAAAGTAATAAGTACATCCAAGAAGCAATCCCCCTGTTGCCACCCACAGCCTTACTGTACAAACTGCTATGAAGGTGATGGGGAGGACTGAACTGCTCTCCCTTCAGTCTATCTATGAGCAGCCTGTACTGCTGAAAGTACTGCTGGACCCATCCCACATCCTTCATAAGAAATATGAGCTCTTGCCTTCTGGCAGAAGGTTAAACATCCCAGAAAAGAAGCTGAACAGTTTTAAATACAATGCAATGGAAAAGTGTGCAATAATTTGGTGTTCCCGTGTTGTTTTAGTATTTTATGTTATTTTTAGTTTCATTTTTTTTTTTTTATTCTTTATGAGTGTGTATGAGCCTATGTGTGTGTGCTTTTAGGTGGTACAGTATTTGTTTATATGTGTATTTATTGTTTCTAATGGCAGCTACTAGTATGCACTGTACACTTGGGTTCATGACAAATGTCCCCTAGGGAACAATAAAGTATCTTCTGTTCTATTGTTGGAAAATTTTGGTTTTGGAACTTAGAAGGCCGCACAAGAAGATACTCAGTTGTTATGTAACAGTCTTCTAAAAAGGAGGCTCACTGTTTTTCATAATGTTCTTTGTTTCATGAAGAATTGCTCTGTGTGAAATCATCTCCAGAGGTTCTAGAGGAGTTCTTAGAGCAGAGCCAGCCTTCTGTATCAGCTTGTTGAGCTTCATCAAGTCATTTGCATTATGCTGTTACCCCAGGAACGTTGGAGGAAGAGATCACACTTTGCCCAACTGACTTTTAGAAGCTATGTAGCATCTTGCTGTAAAAAGATGTGAAACCTGTTGCTTATAATCTAGATCTACTTATCCCCTTCTTATGATATATAGTTTAATCATAAATGTTAGTAGGACTTTATGATAGAAAAAACATTGTTGGCTTGCATAGCTATCTCGCTTATTTTAATTGTTGCAGAATTTAACAAATTAACATTAACAATTAAACAATATCTAAAAAAAAACAGGTTAACTAGAAAAAGATAAGAGAAATGCTTAACTTTTCGCTCCACTGTTATTGCCAGAAGCTATGTGCAGGTCTCAATAGTTTGCACTCATTACATGGATCTTTATAAATGACAAGTTATCCTTTATATTTAGAATGAAAATGTTCCTATTACATTTTACCCTTTTTATTTTTATTAAGTATAATCCTATTCATACATACACATCTTGCAGTTATATATTTGTAAACCTCCTCATCTGTGTCTCTGTCTCAGCTCAGCTCTGTCTGGACCTTCCTGTAAATGTCTGCAGAGTTGGAAGTGCCACCCGGCATTCATGCAAAACTATGTTTATGCAAGTAAACTCATAAACGTCAGCTGAGTTGTGTAAAGCATAAGAAATATGGTAAACAAGTCATTAGAAAGTTCCCTTTAGCGAGCACAGACAAGACGGCAAAATGTCACAATGGAAATTTGATGTGAACTGTATACCGAGGAACTATTATGTGCCGGAAATGTTAGACTGTCTGTGCCCTAGATGTTAGGAGAATCTCACAATGGTAAATATTCTGTCTGACTGGCATGACTGCAAATGCTGACGGCTGACTGCTCTCAGTGTAAAACTATGAATCCCAGTAAAACTCTACCTGTCTTGTTCTTCTGTCTGTTTTTCCAATTGAAGAGACTTCCATACAAGATCAACTTTACAGATCAGGTATGGAGAAAGCAGTCGGCGGCACACCTCCCACGTCACATGGGTGTTTTCCCAGAGAGAGAGGGAAACCTAACATTTTTATTGGTGTGTTTGTGTGCGTTTTAATATCCCAGGGTTCCAATGAGGATGAGAAGCATTTAAGCAAATCTACCTCTTTAATCGAGAGCCAGCACCACCACCTGCTGCACTGTCTGGAGAAAACTACGGTGGGTGCAAGCATATAACTGAATACAATCTAGCTTTCATAAATGATTTTTTATTCTGTTTGTTGCTTTATTCTGAATCACACTGAAATATGTCAGCATTGGCTCCTTTATGCATTATTTTCACCATATATCTTGCTTTTACCCCCCTTCTAAGGAATGCAAATACAGTAAAAAAAAAATGTAAAAAAGAAAGTATACTTTTGGCACAGTCATATAAAGCTTTTACAAAAATAATGATTACCATTTATTACAAAGTCTGTTCCAAGTAACTTAGACTTTAAAACAGAAAATCCTAGCTGTGTATTCAAAGATGAGTCCTTGATCTAAACACAGATGACGCTTTCTTCTTGCTTTTGCTCCATAGAACCACGAGTTTGTGGATGAGCAGTATTATCAGCAGAGCTACTTGGAGGCGGGGCTGCAGAACTATCCGTCCCGAAGCCCGTCGCTGTCCAGCCAAGATGGCGTGACGGGGACATGTTGCAGCAGGCGAAGCAAGAAGCACCATCACACTCCTTTACCAAACTCCAGCGCTCCAGCACACATGCAGCCATTGAAACACTCGCACTCACACCCACAAGGCTTGCAGGAGCTCAGCACCATCCATATTCAGCCCCTAAGTACCAGGTAAGGTCATGGTTTGTAAAATAAACCAAAAAATAAGATTTAGTTTTTTAACAAGGTAAAGAAAAAAAACATTATAGTCAGCTCTTCTGTTTCTGCTGCATTGCATTTTAGAAAGTTTAGGATTTTCTAGTGTTCTCATTGTCCTTTATTTTAACCCAAATGCTGACAGTATCTTGAAAACATTTGTGCTTTGGAAAAATCCAAAATCTAATTTCAATGTTTTCAAAAAAGTAGAGTTAACAATACAACAATTGGAAAAGTTGTGTTTTTACTACACTTTAGATCACTTTAGATTAGAAAATTAGATCAGCATTTAAATAATTATTAAATAAATGTTTAAGACTATGCAGTGTTTACAAAAATATGCATACCTCAAATTTTTTCACATTATTTTTAAGTCAGTTAGGATTATCAAAATCATTTCTATTAACTAAATGACTTAATAAGGAGTGGCAGCAACATGTTATTCCCTTACACTCAGAATAGTATTTTGTAAAAAATCTCTTTAGTAAAGTTCTGACGATGAAGTCATGTTTTTGTTAGTTTTTATTATGTTATTTCAAAATATTTGGGTTAATTATAGTAAAATCTGGGGATTGGTTTTGTGGTAACACTCTAAAACAAAATACTTTTGTGTCAAGGCATTGAAAGATAAAAATATGCAACAATTTATCAACCACCTGAAATGTGATCACTGGGTACAAATTCCTTGTGGCTGAATAGGCCAAGGTGACTTGTCCAAATAATTATGTGTAATTATAAAAAGAATAGGAACCTGCAGGGACTATACTGTTAATGGATGTGATGTTTTGTATAGATTGGGTTATGCAAGAGAGTCCCATTATCCACAAAGATAGAGAAATGTAACAACATGGGCCAAAAGTGTAGATGAAGCCATTTCCTGAAAATCAGCATTGAAAGCCAGACGGCTAATGCATTCAAGAAAAAAGACCTTCATTTCTGATGCAGTGTCTGGGTCTGATTTAATGAAGTTAACTTTGTTTTGCCAAAATGATCTTTGTCACATTTGAAGTGCAAAGGGAAACCTGAACACATCACCTCAATTGTAAAATAATAGATGGCTGCATTATGCTGAGGGAGGGTTTGGTTGTTGAAGAGACTCCTCTAATAGGTGGCATCATAAGACAATAATCTTATGCCAGAGTTAGACTATGGGCACAAATGGGTCTACAAAATGGAAATGAACTGAAAGCAGCATAGCTTGAGGACACAAAGTCACTTTCCAGATTCATTTCTATTCAATAATAGATTAAAAGTTACCTTCACATACCTCTAGTTTTAGAGCTACAAAGAAAAATCAGTGATAAGAGCTCATAGGTGTGTGCAACAAATCACACTATCAGGATGAATTGGCCACAATTATTATCAAGATTATTACCAGAAGCTTTTAATAAGATAACCAAAATATTTGACCAAAGTAAATTAAAAGTCAATTCTATGAAATACTAGATATATTTCTGCAAACTTCCGAATTTGAAGAAAGTCATTAAAAAGGTTTTCTTGCTAGGGCAAGTTAATGCAATAATTTCACAATAATTGATTACACTTAATGCTGATATTTACTTTATCGTGCTTTAACGCTTTTATCTTAGTATTTTGCTGATTGCTGCGTCATAGGGGTTGGACTCATACTCTGGAACAGTAGGTAGCAGTAATACGCCGATAACCTGTCAGCACATCGAGATGCACCATTAGCCGAAGAATGAATGAGTTGTATGGAAAAAAAAGAGGACCGAAAAAGCCACAAATGTACAACGTGCACCTGAAGTTGCTCTCACAGCAGACTACTGGACATCATTCGGTAATCATACCTACTTCAGAGTTATGGCACATTATATAGATGAAAAGTGGGCGCTACATCGGCATGCTTTGTCTGTAAAGAAAACTGAAGCGGGATATTTTGCTGAAAGATGCGCGGGACACTTTACTGAGGTTATACTTGTGTGCCTTAGCAACCGGCTTAGTACAGAGGAATAAAAAAAACTTCAGTAATAGGAAGTTTCAATTGTCTTTTATTAATTTTTTTGTGCTGCAAACTGGTATTGAACATAGACTGGGCTGTTGATCAGAACTGACCCGTTTGTCCTGATTTTGGCTCAGGATTTTGTTGGTAGGGAATGTCCTGTCAGTGGCAATAAGCTTTAATTCATTATTCCTATTATTATTGATTTTTATTTATTAAATTTTTTTTACCTTTTTAAGTTTAGATTTACACAAAATTTTACTTATAAGTGCTGATAAGTGTTTGCACGATAAATGTTATGATACTTCTATTTATATAGCAAAACTTTCACGCTACTTTTCTTTCTTGGAGTTTGCTTATACAATGCGATTAATCAGGCAAATGATGCTATTTATTGCGATTAAAGATTTGAATCGTTGCCCAGCCCTAGTTGTTCCATTTAGCAAGTGATGCTTAATTGACATTTTAAAACAGAAAATGTTTAGTCTGAGAGAGTAGATAGAAAAGCGTTTCCTTTTTATACAGAATTTTATTTGCACAGCTTGATTATCTAAAAAAATATTTTACATTTGCAAGGGTAAGGCCAGTTTGTCCATCATTGGCATTATTTTGTGTTTCAGCTTATCTACTTTGTTCGCCATTCTAGAAATAGATCATTTCATTCTAAGCAGCAAAAAAGTGTGTGTATCAGTAAATACTGCAAACATTTCAATGACTATCATTGCTTAAGGGGTACTCTCAATTTTTATTGACAACTACAGTTGTTCTCTGCAAACCCAATTGTGCAGCTATGTTCACTTTTTAACAAAATATTTCTCTAGGTTTATTCTAATGCATGTTTTTTTTATTTCCCCCCACAGTCGCTCCAGTCTAAACATGCGTATAGAGGAGCCAGCTCCTCTGAACTGCCAGAGCAGCCAGATCACAACAGCAATCATCACCATTCCTACGCCACCAGTGACGACTCCGGAAGGTGAAGCTCACCATCCCACCACTCCTTCCCTTCAAAACGTTGTGAAGGTTTCTGCTCTGTGAAGACTAGACTGTAGAAGCACAGCACAAAAAAAACCCAGAGAGACCCACAGAAGCAGACAGAGAAGGACTCACAGAGGTGGAAAGGGCTTTTAGACAGAATTTGGCCCTGTTGGAGCCTGCCCTCTGCTGGTCATGTGTTATAATGGCACGGACTCCCTGTACACATGGAGGATTGATTTCAGAGACAGTTTCTTCATGTTAGTGGTCGGCAGATGTGTGTGTTTGTATCTGAATGTGTGAGTAAAAGAACAAAAACAAAAAATAAATATGGAATCTTTTAGGATGAGGACTGTTTACCTCGAAGTGTCACAGGTAAGTTAGCAGAGTTTCCTATGTTTCACTGTGCACAAAAGCACCTTTGTTATGATTTATGCTTGAGTTTAACCCATTTTAGTCAGGAAATACAAAGGGGGATGAGGACAACTTAAAAGGAAGGGGAAACAAAAACAATATATATATATATGTATGTATATATATATATATATATATATATCCCTCATTGATCAATGCCTTTGAAATAGAGTACTGCCCTTTTCAGCCATTTTGGTCCAAAAACCTCCTTTTCAGGTCAGGCATTATTCCACTTTAGTATAAATTCTTAAAAAACCCAAAAATCAATGGGTGTGTGTGCAATGGCGTTACCACTGAGTGTATCTGAATGAGTGCTTGTAAATTAAAGACAGGTTATGTGTTTTTTCTGAAAGGAGGTGTGTGCGTGTTTTGTGTGTTTCTCTGAGTTGATTGAAAACTTGTATTTCAGTTACTCTGGAAGTATCTATGGCTCAGTATATGATAAATATGACTAGCTGCCACTCAGAAGGGTTCTTTGCACATACTTCTGTCAAAAAATTCTCAGCTGCAATGGTTTCACACAGTTTGTGCTTAGGTTGCAGGACTTAATATTGTTAGATTTTTTTTTTCCACTGAATTTACTTTTAAATTATCTGCCTCCAGTAGCCCACCTGGTCTTGAGAAAACCCATTTTATTTTACAAATAAACTAACGTTTTCTTGGAATCCAAATCTCCATGATGAAAAGCACAAAGCATTTGCTGAGAATTTGCTGACATAAATCTGCCCTGAGCCCGTGATCTTTGTGAATATTGTTAATAGAATATTTTGTAATATTTGACCATCGTTTGGCAGAAGCAGTGAATCTGTCCTCTTGTTCTCGCTCTCCTCTTTACATCCTTTTCTCTCTCTCGTTGTTGTCCTGTTGTATCCCTAACTTCTGTGTGAACAACAGTATGCTTTCTGTAGTTTTTATAGCTGTCAACATTTTTATTTCTTCCCTAAACTCAGCGAGCATTTTTAGAGTTGTTGAGTATATGTATGTACTCTCTGTGTGGTTAGCAAACTTGGTGTTTGTACTTTTTGTCCTCGATGTTAAAGGATCTCTTTTTTACTTTATCTTCTGGAGACTTTAAAGTAAGGAAATCTGTTGTAAAAAAAAAAATATTATCACAAGGACCTAAAGTTTGCTAGATGAACATGATTTAGAAGATCTCTAAAAGACCAAAATGCCAGCGAAGCTTCACTAAAATGTCTGCAAACCTTAACTTACTCCCAGTTAAAGTCAGTCCATGTAAGTAATGATGATATCTGAACCCACACATTTGGCCTTTTCTTTTTCCATCTGAAATACTAGTTTATTGATGTCCATTCTGTCTGTAAATCAATGAGAAAACTCTCAATAGTTCATTAAAACGGGAAAAAAGCAGCAGACTAAATATCCACCTTTGCCAATCAAGGGAACTTATCATTCTTTTAATTTTTCTTGTTACTTTTTTCATATTTGTTGCTTCCTATATTTCTATTGTCAAGAACCCTTAATTTACTTTCAGTTTTCCTTTCAAGTCATGTTTCTGCTTCAAACTTACCAGATCTTAATTTTCCATTTCTGAATGTTTTAAACATTTAAAACAGCCTGAAGGAAAGAAAGCCTTTAAAAGGTAGTTATGAATGCAAATGAGAGTTATCTTTCTAAACCTGAACAGTTTTTGCTTTACTCATAAGGGTTTCACTATTCTACAGAAACGTATCTATACTATTTTCCAAGGAGACCATCTGCTCTGTTAAAAAGGCTCTGCATTATGTAAAAAAGAGTTTTCAAACAGTATTTACTTGACCATTGACCATTTCTAAATTCTGTTTAGGCTTGTAGCTCGCTAGGGCCATACTTATTATTCCAGATCTGAGAAATATTTAAAATGGCCAAATATAGCAAAAAGTGGTTTCTAACACCAGAACTGGGTTTATATTGTATTAAAATCAGTTAACCAAACAGGAGTTATGTAAAAACGGCAGAAGTAAACTACAGCAGCTAGAAGTCCGACTTTTCAGCACCAACACTCAGTATTTTACTCATGACGGTTGAGCTCCACTATAGTTATGTAAGGGGTTAAAATGTTTTTGGAACACCATCTGCCATGTCATACAAGATTCATAAGTTTGTTTAAATTTGTTTTTCTTTGCAACCAATATTTTTTTAAAGAAAATAATTTCAAGCTAAGGCTAAACATTTGGTTGTTTAAGGGTAATCGTAAAAAAAAAAGTGGTGGGTGATATGTGCAACAATCGTGTGTTAACAGGGTACATAGGGAAAGAAAAGCCAGCTGTAAATTAGTGCAGTTTCTACTCTGAGAAACTTTATTTACAACCAAAGTTGATGGTCTGGCTGCTGACTACACCGGAGCCGTCGGTCATTTTGAAGCAGTACCTTCCTTCCCTTGAAGCCAGTATCTGAATTGCTTATTATCCTGAGGTGAAATGCAATTTAAAAAGAAACAGTTATCAGGTCATTTGAAATATTTACTTTTACATATTTTTGTTTGTAAATTGTTTGGAATTTGGCTCTTTGCCGAGATCAGTGCTCGCTATTGATTTCATGTTTCAACTACACCTTAATTTGACATGTTATTTGAAATGTGGCTTGGTTCTGTTTTTTTTGCCACAGAAAAATGTTTGCTTTCTGAGGTTTGAGATTTTAAAAAAAATCACTAATATAGTAGTGCCCTTTGAGAAATGTGAAGTTTCAAAATTCTATTTTTATGGTAAAGAAGTGCGCTTTGAAATAATGTATCGGATTGGGAAAAAAATTTGGGGAAATGCTGATATTTATTTTTTATATTTTCAAGATTTCATGCTTTTCTGGTTATAAAATATGCTGTTTGCCCTTTAAATTTTGTTGATTAAGAGCATGCGTACTGAAGTCGAGGTGCAGCGTCTGCTTGTTTGAAAGCAATACTAGAACTGGTGTAATATCTGCACTGCTGAGGGTTTGCTTTTTTCTTTCCTTGCAGAAGTAAACACTTTAAGAACATGGGTAACTGTCATATTAGAGCATTATTTTTATGAAACTTTAAGGTCAGCTCAACTCCTCTGTTATACCTCAGACCCCAATCATCTGTAGGTCAGTAAAAACCCAAAAATAAAACTACAAATTATTTGCAAAATGGCACCAAAATGGACCTAATAAGTAGCTTAGTACAGAGTAATAACTGCCTATATTAACTATTTACTTTTATTAAAAATTTTACCATTAAAAATCAGAAACTTAGGCAGAAAACATTTTTTGTATTGAAAAAAAGGAATGGGACAGAAACATCACATTAAAAACTTTAGAATCTACAGACTTTAACCTGTTGTATCTGACAGTAGAAGCTATATTTTTGCTGTTGGGGAAACATTTTCCAACAACCGGTTATTTTTCCCAGCTTTTTTTTTTTTTTTTTTATGACACCGTTTGGAATAGTATGTTAGCATATAATAAGCTAGATGTGTTGAAGGCTCACATTTTTATTTACAAACAACGAAAATCGGTCTGTGGTCGTGTGTGTCTCTGTTACGTACTCTACTTTTACTGTCTCTTCTTTCTCTGAGCTCAGTCTCCCTTTTCTCTTTGCTTTGCCCTCCTATGCCACCTGTTGTTGTTCAGACTACTGCTGTGCGTATCTTGTCATGTGTTGTATATTATTTATGACCTTGTCTTGTGTCCCAACTGTGAAACGCCTGATAAAACATCTATATCTGCCAGAAAAACGTGTCGTCTTTTTCCCCTCATCCTTAAATCTTTCCTGTGTTTCTACTTGTGAAAAGAGAAAAACAGGTAAGACAACATAAACAGCTTCAGGGCATTTTCCAGGTCAGAATAGGTGTTGACCCAAAGGCTTCCATCAAAGATTTGAACCTTCAGGCTGTTACTTTGAAGTTGTTTGTTTAAAAGGAGAAAAAGCCCTGAATGTTAGACCAAAGTTTATGATAATTTTCTTTATATTAGTCGTTGCACAAAGTGAGTCACTAATCTACAGTGTACATAAGTAAAATGTCTGTCAAGCCTAAAACTATTGCCCTCCCTGATGATGTGAAAAAGCTTCAAAATAAATAAATTTTTATTGCATTACCATAATTTTAACCAAAAAAAAAAGGTTTCTGTCCTAAAATCACATCACTGCAACCATACGGTTTGTCAAGAGTAATTTAACAGTCCTTTTCAGCAACAAAGGCTCCAACTTAGTCTGTCATGTGATTAAAAAATACTTAGAAAATCTCACATATCCACAATAGAGTACAAATGCATAACAAATAACTGCCAGTTTTTATTTATTTATTTTATTTTTTTACAAAGGGTAGGTTCCCCTTATCAGTGACAGGAGTTCTTTAAAGTATAAGAACATTTTAAACATTGATTGAAATCTGAATGTGGGTAAAAACTTATAATTTACAGGATATTAATTGAAAACATTTATGTAAATCTCCTTAAATCCTGTAGAAAAATGGGGTTATAGCATGGCATTTGTACACCATCCCTATTTCTAAGACCCTTTGGTGGGAAGCAGGTAAAAAAAAAAAAGTTTTATTTTTCATATAGGCGCATACTGTATATAAAATGGTGGTGGTAGTTCATTAACAAAATCACCAGTGCCACACTCTTCCCCCATTTGTCGATCCACGTAAAACTCTCAATTTATTAATAATTAATATTCTTCACCACAAACATTTTAAAAAGTAGGGTCATGATTTTTAAACTTCTCTTAATCATAAATAGTCCTCGTTCATATCTTATGATCTCCTGCCCTCCATGTTTTTCTTCAATGGACTCCATTGTTGGGTGTAGGTTTGCACAGGGACCATAGGGACATGTCCCTACCAAAGTTTTGGACCAACCTACTTGTTCCTACCAATAATTCGATGTGAATAACATGTTTATAATTTACAATACAGCTTTGTTGCAGTAGTAGAGGACTTGTGGATGGAGAATATTGACACATGAAAACATTTTTTTTATCTTAAAAGCAAAATGTTGTTTGTTTTTTTTTTGTTTTTTTTTTGGTGTAATTCCAGCTCAAAGTGGGTCGCTCTGTGAGCTAAAGACATGTTTTAGAGTCTCTATACTCCAGTTAATGATTAATCGATTACTGAATTTGTTGACATTATTTCAATA